TCGAAATTTGGGGACTTGAAAACGCAATTTTGAACTAATTTTGAACTTACTAAGATAATGTCGAGGAGAAGTAAGGAGAAATTGGCTCATTTCGCGAGAATATCGTATGACCTTTAAAATGACGTATTTGGGGGTCCGAAACCCCCCTTAAAATTAGTTTGAAGTAATTTCTGTGATTTTTACTTGAAAGTGCTTACAATTTGGTAAATATTCCCGTTTTATTTTTTTCTTTACGATAATTTGAACCGGAGATATGATTTTTTGAAAATAGGTCAAATTTGACCTTTGACCTATCATAACTCGGTCAAAAATTAAGATATTGATTTGCGGTTTGCGCCAAAATTCTTAATTTTTTATGCTCTTTCTAATGATGTATCACAAGATAGGGGTTACCATTTGAAAAAAAAAAGTTGGGGGCCCCCGCGCCCCCCCCCTGAGGGGGGGAAAAAATTTTGACCCCCCTAGAAGATGGACCCCTTTAAGATAGAAACATTCCCAAAGTTTCGTTTTTCTATCTCTAACCGTTCAAAAGTTACGAGGGGGGGTACGGACTTTTGGGACACCCTGTATAAATAAATTATGTTATAGGCAGCGTGTAATGATTTATTTCCTCAGTTTTGCATCCAATATTTGACAAATTCGAATTTTGTATTTTAAAATTAACTTCGACAGCATCCCACGGTTTTATTTTAAATTGCCAATTTTTCTGAAATTGTTACCCTTTAACGTTATTCTGATTTTCTAAGTCTGCCGTCTATTTTTTAAAAGAGCCCTTTTTACTTTCTCGGAGCTAATTGTTAACTATCTTAACAAATAATTGCGAACAAAACTTAGTGTGTACTAATAAAAATATTAGGTGTCCGACATACCTGTTGAGCAATGCTTCCACTAGTTTCATTTTACCCTTTTACTGCTCTTATTGTGTTTATAATACGAGCAGAAAAAGGGTAAAATGAAATTACGGAACTACGCTGTATGTAGGAAACAAGGAACTTTTTTACAAGTAGGAACTATCATCGTGAATAAGTTACTTTTTCTGAAATAATTGAACTATCTATCATAATGCGAGGGAGAAAGTTGTTTGGTAGGTTAACTGACGAGCCAGACACACGAAGCACCATATATAGTTGCTTAAAAAAACTCAAATGTACGATCATCATGTAGGGCAAAAAAACTTGTGATAAGTCGCAAGACTCAAATGATTGAATTCGGAGGCACCGTGCATTAAAATAATGGGTAGTTAATGAAACTTATCAGCAGTGTTGCAGTCTCTGCAAGAAAAAGTAATACAAGTTCACTTGAGGCGAACCGACAAGGCGAAAAATAAACCAAACTTTTGAATTGAAATTTCTCTCTGTGTTATGCGAGTTTACGCCTCGTGCCATCGCGCCTTCAATTTGCAGATGCCACACGGACATCAATCAAGCACGAATAGTTGTATCTCTGCTCCGTCATCAGCGCGCGTCCTTGCCCATGCTCTATTGTTTTATTTTTTATGGTGCTTCGAGGGTTAAAATGGTTTTGAAAAGACGACACACTTCGAATTGAATCAAATGATGAGCATTAAATTTGTATCCATAATTTTTTTAATTACCTAATTTCACACAATCATGAAAATAAACGAAAAAATCTTTTAATTTATATAGAATCAACCTTTGTCCTTAAGAAAATCACACTTGGTGAAGGAGGGTTAAATCTTATTGACATCAGTGGAGAGGCATGAATGGTTGATTTATCGATATTTCCCCATGTTAAACAGGATGTTCGCTGCGAACATCCTGTTTATCGAACCTTTTCTATAGGTTTTAATGGTAGATCAATCAATATATCGCAAAGTACGCCACGCTTTAATCGAGATTGAGACATCACTTGATGATTTGGATGAGACTGGTTAATGGCTCATTGTCAGTGATTTACAAACGCGCAGGACACTTTCTTGGGTCTATGGGGAAGCGTGAATAATCGATTAGTGATATTCCACCTATAAGTGGTGGTAAAGAATCGATTGTAAAGGTGTTCGTTGCGAACACCCCGTTCTGCGATCCTTATTCTTAGGTTTAAATGGCAGATCAATCGATGTATCCCAAAACACGCCAGGCCACTGTCCTAGGTCTGTTATCACGTTGCCTCAATAAAGTTGATAATTTATAATCGGAATTTTTTCCATTAATAAGATATAAGTGGTATTTTTCAATTCATAACATTCTGCTCATTTCATTGAAGACCACTTGTGGACTGTGTTTTTCTCACAGCATTAATCAACATGCGAAATAATCGATTGTTTTGCGAGTATTTTGAAGCGAGACTTATAATTAAAGATTGGTCAAGAAAAGAAGCACGAAAAGGATGTAACGATGTCTTTATTTCTTTTTATTTCTGCGCACTAAATATAATTTACATTTTCTTATTTTATACTGCACAAAAAAAGAGAAAAAAACTTTGAACAATCTTGATGAGAGGCATTTGCATTCAAGATCTGTTGAATGATCCCCAGTTTATTCGGAACCAGTTAGCTGCAAACGGCACTCCGTATGCATATTTTTTTGTGAACTTGGCAGTCGAAAAGTTTTGCCGCACCATATCATTTGGCCTGGTAACACACGTTAAAATCATAACCTAATAAGATTGAGAAATATGAAACCAAATTTTGAGGAGTGAATCATGCATTATGACGTGAAAACAGATAATTCCTTTGTTTTACATTTTATGTTTTTTTTTTCTTTTTCTTTTGTATTTCTCTTACAATGAAAAATTATTCGAACAAAATTATGAAGCATACATTTGGAAACAGGTTTGAGATGCCCCAGTTGATTAACATATTATTCTTTGGTCCTCCGAATGATTGTGGTGATTTTATTATATCCAGATATTTAAATCGTTCAATGATGCCGATTAAACATTTTTCTCTTCCTCTATCTCCAACATACAGAAAACCGGTAAAATTAAATATAGATTTTATTTCAAAGAGAAGGACATTTGAAATAAAAGAATATTAATTACCCATTTTAATAAAATTATATTTAGTATATCGTTCAACTTACACTGGAGGGAGATAATCCTCCGAAAATGACACGTTTCCTTTTGGCTGGATATAAACCAAGAAGACATACCGTTGAGAACCTGCAAATTTGAATAAAAATATACATAATTACCATTACGTTTTCGACAGCACAGGTAAGTACAACAATTACTTCAAATTTCTTCTCACTCTGTGTTTAGATTTTGAAAAAGTTTACTCAATTAAGCATTATTTTTACTAACCGTAAGCAAGTGGCGTCGGAGGTGGAATATAGTCAGTCAAAACTTGACCGTGTTCCACTTGAATTCCAGGAATGTTTACAACCACCCAACACTGGTACTCTCGTTGTGTACAGTTATTTGGGTCGGGCATATCTGGGGCTGTAACTCAAGCAAATAGTCAAATGTTTAATTCAAAGTCGACACAGCAAACTTTAATTAAATTATTTTCAAATTGACCTTTATGGTAGGAGTTGCAATCTGTTCACTATGCATTAGTCCAAAAAATAAAACCCCATTCGGAAAATTATTTTCAATAATTCCAAATCGCACAAATTCAAGGAAGTGTATTTGGAATTTTAGAAAATAATGTTTTTTAGCATGAGCTTATGCAACAGAATATTTGTACATTTAATGTAAGAGACATAAGTTTTAGTCCCTCACATCTCTCGTGGACCGAAAAAAATGTTCTATTTGGAAAAAAATAGGTAGGGGCTGTTCGATGATTTTGACATTTTTATTTGGCATACATTATTGGGGTGCTACCTCAATTAAATGTGGTTTTAAAAAACGGTGGTATTTCAATTGGATTAATTGGAAATCCCTATGTCATCGCACAAATAGGGGTAGCACCACAATTTTAGGGGCTAACCCATAACGCTTTTGTCTGTGTAAAAGGGATTCAGAAATGAGTAGCTCCAGCTTTTTTTAAATTTTCAGACATACTTTCGGTCGCGATAACAACAACTTATTTCAGTGCCGCGACAAAGTTGCAAAGAACACTGTTGATGTGTAAATGTTGACCCATCAAGGATGTTAGTAAGGATATATTATGTGTATAAGGATGTATTATGACCTTAAAATTTCACTCCAGTTCTCACTTTCACTTTTTGATATTATATAAATCGCTATCCAATTTTGAAGCTTAACTCTTACAATTTAACATTCCGTCCATGGTCTCTTACAATTTAAATGCTGCAATAAATGTCTCACCGGTGAAAATTAGAGAATAATATATCTCGTCATCATTTGACCAAGGGCAGACAGGTTTTTTGTTTAACTGATCGAGCAAAAGGTCTCCGGAGACTTAGATCTGCGGAGACATTTTCTCAAAGCACCTGAGGAGTAAATCCATTTATTCAGAGACATGACTGAGCATTTATATTTTCCCACGAGAGAGTTCTTAAAACGATTTTGAATTTTAATGGAAGATGCAAGTAGGTATCCTCACCGACAAAAATTATAGTATAAAATAGGTTCTCTTCATGCGGCCAATACAACGTTGGCTCGTGGAACACCTCGTATTTGAACAAGTTGTTCCCCAATTCAGCTGTGACATTATCCTCCCATCTTAGCTGTAAAAATGACCATCAGTCAAGGTTTTAAAAAACTTGTAAAAATAGGTACAAAGTACAAAGTTGCATACTTTGAACCTATGCCTGTAAACACAGCATAATTTACGTGCTTGCGTGTTGATCGGTGATAGGTTCATCGATGCTGAACTATGATACATGGCAACAGCCAGAGTTTTAAGGGTGTCAGGATGTTTATTTGTGCATGGACTGAGTTTGACAAAAACGAATTTGGAAAAAATTAGTTTGGAGTGTTGTTAGTAGTTTTGAATTCGAGTAGTTGTAAACAGTGTAAATACATCTGCGAAATATTCAAATGCAGGGAATGGTTTTATTTAGCTGCCTTTCTGAATTTTTCGGGTCACAACTTTGCCTAAAAGCGTCTGCGGCTCAATCTGCGTCGGAAAATAAACATGCACTAATTTATTCTTTACGTAAACGGAACTACAAAAATAAGCTTCCTCTTACCTTCAACAAATGACAAGGAGGGTACTGAATTATATCTGGGATGATTTTCTCCTTGTGGCACATATCTTGCATATCTGCATTATCAAATATCTTCTGTTCCGACATTACAACCTGCATTTGCAAACTTAGGAATTTAAGAGGCAATAAAATTGAAAATGTCTTGATCATCATGTCGGGATTTTCCGTGCGTTTTTAGGTGTCTTTTTTTTAGGGCCTTAAATTGACTTTGACCGTTGCTTTCATCAATATTTCTTGGCCTCTGCGTAAATTGAAAAACAAATATTTAGGCAAGAAATATAGCATTATAAATAAGTTTGCAGAGGGAATATCTCTTGCCCTAATGCCTTATTTTGAAGGAGAATCGTTGTGGCTCCATGCAACTCTAAAGTATGACATCGTGACACGCAACTGAACTTCAGTTCACTGAACTTGAATGTTTCTAATCCCCATGGAGTCACCCATAACTCCTATTTTTTTTTCGAAATCGATGGATATGCTTGATAAGCCGACTTTAATAGACTCACTGTGAAACTATAGTTTCTTTTTAGATTAGATTTTCTCCCGGTAAGCGATATTGACGTCGTGATTACTTCAGGAAAAATAAAATAATTCAACATCAAACGCAGCAGTTTCCTGGGCCCTCCTTACGTCCCTTCCCGTTCGAGGTGTCTGGGTCAGCCTTGGCAACATAATCCCATCATTATGATAGCGCCACGGCGCCAAGCCGGCAAGGGTGGCGTCAAAGCTTCGTTCATTATACGAGCACCGCGCTCTATGGGGTGAAAGTAGAAGGACAGTTTCGCGTTAACACCGATAGAATTCGTTCACGATTTCAAGCGTATTTGCAGGAGATAATGTCTCCAAAGCTCCGGTCAGAGCAAGCTCCCACAATATGGTAGAAATGAGCTGACTGATTTTAATAAAAATAACCGTTTAATGTCATTAATTAATACCATTGTGATTTTTTTTTTTTTTTTAACTGCGAAGAATGTAAACATGCAGATGTTTCGAATAGAAATCGAGTGTGTATAGCAGCAATTTTCACAAAATTCGAGGTGTGTAACGCGTACCAAACTGATATTTTCGAGCTAATACAAACGATTTGGTTCACAGAAAGTAAAAAATTCTTCGTTCCAATTTTGAGATATGCATTCTCGGTGAATGACACTTTCAGTAAAGGCTGCCTCGCCTCATCCCTCTCCATCTATCCCCACCCGTTGATAACAGCAAGACGTAAGAAAGAAAAAAAGACGGTAACAGTAACAGTGGCGAGACGTGAATGCTCGACTATCGATATTTCTCCATTTGAACCTATGGTAAAGAATCGATTTTTGAGGTTTTCGTCGCGAACACCCTGTTTATCAATCCTGTCAGTGCGAATCAATGGCATTTTAATCGATATATTGCAAAGTACGCCACACCGTTGGATATTACTTGCTTCTTCAACAAGCACTGCAACTGCAAAGTTCAAATTACAAAACTGTATGAATCGGCCATACTTTCTTCTCTCATTCTCCTTTACTTTTAAAATCTCCAGTTCCAATTCGGTCTTTATTTCAACATTCTCCATTAGAATCGACCATATTGTACAATTTTGCCCAAAAACCTATGCTAGACGCATCTAATTTCAGATTTATCTAACTCCAAACACCAACCCTTTAAATTCTGAAACCCAAGAGTCACTACTGAACTTTTAAAACTTCTGAAGCTTAAGCTCAAAATTTAATTGGTTTCGGATCGTCTTGTGAAATTAGCTAACTAACTAATTATTATAATTTGCGCCAAAGAGGTGGATAACATCGTTTATTCTATTTTCTTCTATTTCAAATTAACAACATCCGTGATATTGGACTCAAAAATGTTTCATTCAGACAGACCTTATTAACTTTTTGCTCATCTATCAGTGCAAATAGCATCACGATTCTCCATGACGCGTAACCGTGTTTTCAAATCAATCTCTGGGACTTGTCTAACACCTAGAATAGTCGAAGGAGAATAATGAAACACAGTAGCGTAGCTAGGAATTCTTTAGGGGGGGGGGGGGGTGAAATTTTTGGTCATAAAACTGAGCACAGACTGACAGTGGCGCAGCTAGGAATTCTTTAAGGGGGGGGGGGGTCCATTCAAAAACGTGACGGTAAATTTACATCATTTTGTGTACGTTCCTGATAATATTTTATGTCTGCCCTCCAAAAGTAAAAAATGGTACAACTAAGGAGGCTAAGAGGGAGGGGGGTCAAGCCCCCTTGTAACCCCCCCCCCCCTTGTCTACGCCACTGATGGAATAATATATAATCCACTATGGTGTATGCAAGAGCTGAAGTTTCTTCTAACTTCCCGAGAGGGCCTGTTTTTAAACGCGACTCTAGTTTCGAGCTTGGCGGAGGAGAAGAATACGAGAGCATCGACCGGTGACGACTAGACAGACAGGACGAGGGAAATTACAATAATACCGGGAGGACTCGGAAGAAATTAATTAATTAAAAACTTGGGTGGCCTTAAATTACGAGATCGACTCGAGAGAGCGGGAAGCTCCGGGTTATTTAAGCGACGCAGGTTGCCTAGCTGGGTGTCGCGCGGCGCTGACATGCACCGCCCCGCTCCAACCTTCAAGTCTGTTTGTTTTTGAAGTTATCCTATAAAACAGCGGAGCGTTAATAAAAAAATAATAATTTTGCGCTTGAACCGTGCTCTTCCTCCGTGCCACCAACGTTATTCACGTTACTCTTACTCGAGTTGTCAGATCTCTTTTTCCTCCTCGAAATACTCTCAAAGGTGGCGTCTTGAAAGATGTAAACTTTGATCATAAAATATTCGTGTTCAGTCCAATCGTCAAGACTACGTATAAAAGCTGCAAAGAGAGTGTGATGTAAAAGACAGGCTCATATAACTTACTTTGATCGTATATTCGGGCTCCATTCGCACGTATCCCATACTTTTCAATTCAGGGTAGAGGTCATCAAGCGTTAATCATTGCAGACTTATTGTAAAGTTCCAAACGATATTCTCTCTCCTTGATTGCATATTTTCTCAGGTTAAATGAGTGCTTTAAAAAATAAAAAATAAAAATTATGTATTCCATTCATCAGAAAATAATTGACAATTTTTGTGGCAGATTTACACAGCTCGTAAACACATACTATATTTTACAAATTAACGCAGTTGCTGCAAACCAATACCACTGCGTATTTAAGGTAAGCTCATGGCAGATTATGGTGTGGCAAAATTGAACGGAAACATTCAAATTCAGTTTCATTGCACCATTTTTACCATTTATTTCTTCTTCTTTTTTTTCTTTCTTTGTCCCCAGTTACAACAATTACAGCATGCATATAGACGCCTTGAATACTCATTTTATTTTCTATCATGAAACCTCTCTCCCTTAAAAGAGCAAAAACTTATCCCAAGTGCACTGTATTCGTGCACTTAACCTATATCAATGTAGGATTTTGACGAAGAGAAAGAGTGCGGAAATCGGTTTCTGAGACGTGCATTTCTCAAAAAATATAATTATTTCGGACAGTTCACTGGAAAGTTTTCCGTATTTTAACATACAAAAATGTGTGAAAAGTTTGTAGAAAATTAAACACAAAAAAATTTGTATTAAAGAGTGTTACTTTGTAGAAAATGATCGGCTCCCTTGAAAACCAATCATCGATACATTGACCCATTCATTGTAGAATATTGTTTACTATTAATAATAATAAATAACAACAAAAAATCAATCACGAGGGTCAAAGTTACAGAGGTTCAAGAATTTCTTCAGAATTCCTGTAACTTCAAGCATTTTGAGGAAACAGGGAAAGTTGTTTAGAGAATAAACCTCAAGTAACTCATGAACTGCCTCACTCGTAAAGCATCTGTAGAACTTTGATTGAAAACTCAATGTAGACATAGGAAGATGCCAAGCGCAAATAATTTATTGCTTCTGAGCAAAGCGGTAGCATAAGCACAGTAGCCGAGTATTGTGGAAATACTACTATTCCATCTCCTGTGGACCCACTTTTGCCTACCTTGAAAAATGAAGGCAAATCGGAGCTACTCATCGCTCTCGAAAACATCCTGGCGCCGACAGCATCTTGTTTGCCTCCGATTTTACAGATGTAAAAAACCTCAACTTGCGTCACCCGACAATCAACTTAAAGCAGTAAATCATCTGACATCTTAACATCAACTTATTCATCTATAAAACTAAATCCGTCAAAGTTTCAACAGGTGTGGAATCATCTTGAACAACCATGTATCATGCTATTTTCTCCTTTGCCCGAATTTGTAACATTACACCATAAATGAAAACCTGAATCAATGAATTCTGGGCCAGCATAAATTTGTAGATTTTCCGCGTTTGGTGTTGAAAGTAGTTTCAAAATCTACCTTCGTAACTCGCATTTTACCTAAAGGCTTCAAAGAAAACTAAGAGCTACTTTCTTGGGCATGTATTGCACGAACAGCCTCTACTTTTTTACAGGAAAAACTAAGCTAAATGATGGAAAGGTCGTGGATTTTGAATTGGATCGTATTTCGCAAAATGGAACTAGCGCGATTACAGTGTTGTAAAAATGTTGCTTCTTCATAATTATCTAAAAAACCTCCCAGAATAGCAAATTGTTTTGGCTTCTCACCAAAAAATTATTGATTTTAAATGAAAATAATTTTGCGAGTTTTATACTGTGCTTATATTAAGTATTTTTAAAAGAAAAGGATAAGTTGCACGATTTTGAAAACATTGTGCTCGCGCTGGTTCCTTTTTGCTTAATGCGATCCAATTGAAAGAACCGAGGATTTTGGGGATATCTCGATCCATGTTGCAACCAAGGTTCGCACTTAAATGAACTTAGCCGCGCGACTTTTGCAACAGCTCCCCTTAAACAACTTAATTAATGCTGTTATCAAGTTAGGCGCGTATACGTGCAAGACTTGGTTGTTCTAGTTCCTGGCTGGCATCCCTCTGAGCCTGCCCATGTAAATCACCGTGTGACAACGACGTGACCGTAAATTCTGAAATTACCTCACCCGCCGACCGCCTTAATGCCGAGCAAATGGCTGGCAAAAAGGTGTGGCGGAACACTTTTCGCGGATTCTAGTATTACGACGATAATTTCGCTCTGAAGGTAAACACCCCGCGTACATCACTTGCTTTGCAAAATTTTTCCTCCGAAACATAATGCGATGGGACGGAATGAATTCTCTTAGCCAATTTTTGTACGAACGCAACAAGTTTTATCTCTTGTATGATATAATGACATCGTCCAGTGTTGCTGAAATCATGTTAGTTATTTTAAATGAAACAGTTTTTTTTTTTTTTTTTGTTTTTTTATGTGCAGGATCAAACGCAGGTGCTGATTGAAGCTTTCAACTGATTTCCAAACATTTTAATGGGTTAGATTAAAAACCAGTATCAGGTGTTTACAAGTCTGCAATTTACATTATACGTCTTCTAAGTTTCATTTCATTTCTTCTAAGCAAAATATTTTTCAACTTAAGATTCCAATACGTTTCGAGTTTCGAAAATGTGGGCATACAGTCACATTACTTATAACTGCAG